CGCAGGACGGGCAGGGTCAGAGACCAGAGCGGTAGCGTAGTCAAGGCGGCGGATAGAGGCGAAGTCAGCGACAGCAGCAACAAGCGCGTCAAGGCAGGAGACAGGAACAGAGGGGTCTGTAACAAGAGAGGCAAGGACCCGAGGGACAAGGGGACTAGCGGCACAGAGGTTGTCAGACAGCGGGGGAGGTGCAACAACGAGTGACGAGGGAGGAGGCGAGGGGAGGAGGGGAGGACGAGACGAGTGAGAACGGAGTAACATAGGATGGGAGCACGGGACAGGGGAGACGGGACGAGCATGGGAGGGACGGCAAGACCAAACGTGGGACAGAGGTGTAGGGTTAGGAGACAGCGGAGGTAACACAAGGGGGGAACGAGGAGGAAGACGGGCCGGAGAAGAGTCCGGGGGCGGGAACACGGTGCCGTAGACAGGAAGGTGCGGAGGAGGTGGGGGAGACACCGGTGAGCGGTCAGGCGAGGGAAGGCCGAGCAGGCGAAGATTGGAGACCGGCGGCGACGACTGCGGCGGCTGTTGCGGCGGCTGGTGCTCGACCCTCGAACCGGAAGGGGCACGACGACCGCCGGGAGAACACTCAACAGCAGCACCCCCAGAACCAACACCCCTAGAGCGAGAACCCTCTCCAGCTCCAGCGGCACCCCCAGGCCCGCCGTGACAGACCACGCCAGGAGCCGCAGGACGAACACCCTCCTCAGCGCCAGCACCCCCAGAGGCCAAGAGCGGCAGCAGCGGCAGTGGCGGCGGTGGTTGCGACGGCGGCTGCGACGGCGGCGGCTATGACGGCGGCGACGGCGGCAGCGGGGGCGGAGACACCAGGGAAGGGGGACACGGCAAAGGCGGGGCGGGGGGACCACCAGAGTCAGCAGACTCCTCAACAGGGACAACTGACGGGAGGGGAGTGACATGGGAGACACCAGACGGGGCAGGACGCGGCGGGAGGGGAGGAGGGGATACCGGGGGAGAAGGGGCAAGGAACAGGGGGGTAGAAACCGGGAGACCTCGGTGAGGGAAGCGACGGTAGAAGGAGACGGACTCGTCAAAGGTGACGTCACGAGAGTGGAGGAAGCGGTGAGACTGCCGGTGGTAGAGAAGCCAGTCAGACGAGTCCAGGGGGAAACCAAGGAAGACACAGGGGACAGTGCGGGCAGTGAGCTTGTCCGTGCTAGAGGCACGAACGTGAGCAAGGCAGCCCCAGACGTGGAACGCTGACGCATCACCGGGGGACCCGGTCCAAAGGAGGGTCGCCGAAACCTGCGGCTGCTGGGAGCATGGCCACAGGTTAAGCTGGTGAGCGGCGTAGCGAACGGCGAACGGCTACAGAAAATGGGGTGCACCAGCATGGATCATGGAGGTACGAGCCACCTCCATGACCAAGCCGATGCGGCGCTCAGCAACCCCATTCTGTTGTGGTGAGTCCGGCAAGGTGTACGACTGGGTGATGCCCTCCGCACGACATAACTGTCCAAGCCGACCAGAAGCAAACTCGCCGCCACGGTCAGAGTGGAGACACAACACGGGGAGACCGCGGTGAAGACGCGCAGCCACAACCCACGGGAGAAGAACGTCGGGCACGTCGGCCTTCCGCTCCAGGGGAAACACCGTGGTGTAGCACGTTTAGTCGTCGACGAGCACAAGAAAGTAGCACTCGCCACGCGGTCCGGGGACGGGGGCTGGGCCCCAAACGTCCAGGTGCAGGGTCTGAAGGCGAGCAGTAGCAGGGCGAAGCGAGGAGGAGTGAGGGGCACGGCGGAGCCGGCCCTCGACGCAGGGCGTTCACGGTGGAGCAGGCGAGGGGGGAAGGGCGGGGAGCGACGCGGGGAGGCCTAAGACAAGACCGTGCTGGGACATGTGACGCAGACGCGGGAGTGCAGGGTGGCCTAGGCGGTGGTGCCACAAAAGGGACGGGTGAGTGAGGGACCGACTCGAGCAAGCTGCAGCGACCTCGGAGGACGCACCAACCGGGGGGGAAGCGGTGTCGAGGGTAAACAGACCAGACACCGGGTCTCGGGGGAACGTCGCAAGAGGGGAACTTGAGACAGGTACAGACAGCGAACCGCTCATGCCCAGGGAACGTGGTGGTGACGCCGAGGTTCTGAAGACGGCCAACACCAACCAGGTTCCTGGAGAACGAGGGAACGTGGAGGCCTGTAAGAGAGCCCGAGGGAACGGCTGGACAGGGAAGGGAAGTGGAACTGCGAGCGACGACAGGACCGGCAGAGGGGTCAGCGAGGGAGACAACAGCAGGTGCAGCAAGAGGCGTGAGCGTGGACCGGTCACGGAAGAAACAGACAGAAGCACCGGAGTCGAGAGTGAAGGACAGCGAGGCCGTGGCAGTGGCACTCGTCCAAAAGTGGGCGTAGGATGTGGTTCATCTCGGATTGGAATGTTGCCGGTGCGTTGGTGAGTCCGAACGGCATGACCAAATACTCGTACGATCCGTACCGAGTTCGGAAAGCAGTTTTGGGGATAGAGTTGTCCGCCATTCGTATCTGCCAGTATCCGGACCGCAAATCCAGTTTGAAAACTACCGTAGCTCCCCGAAGCGGGTCAAGCAGGTCATCGATTCGTGGTATCGGATACTTATTCTTGATGGTCTGCTTGTTAAGAGCTCGGTAGTCGATGCACATGCGCAGGCTTCCGTCCGGTTTCGGTGTGAATAGTACTGGGGCACCGTATGGCGAAGTGGATGGTCGGATGAGTCCTTTGGCTAGGAGATACTCGATCTATTTTTTCATGTCGGTCAGCTCCATAGGGCTGAGCCGATATGGTGCTCGGAAGGTCGGCTTCGAACCCGGTTCCTTGATGATCTCGTGTTGATGCGTGCGGTATGGCGGTAGCTCGTTCGGAAGATCATCAGGGAGAATGTCTTGAAACTCCGTCAGTAATTCCTTGATTTTTCCTGGAGGTTCCGAGGTCTTCTCTCCGTCGGTTTCCACCTCTGTTGCTTTCGCCAGGAATCCGGTGTTGGTTCGCTTGACGTCCTTCTCGAATCTGGTGAGTGTCTCCACTGGGATATCTCTTGTATCATCCCAGTTGGGTACCTGGACTCTCCTTCCTTTGTTGTAGATGCTTGCGGTGCGGTTTACCCAGTTGATCTCGGGGTTGAATCGTTTTAGGAAGTCTCGCCCGAAGATCAGATCAAGCCCTTTTATGTTGGTGATGGGGAGTGCAGGTCTCCAGCGTAATGGTCCGATTTGTAGGTGTAACACTGCTTCGCCGTACACTGGTAACTTGCCGCCATCCACCATCGTTGCAGAAAACGCTGATGGCTTGTACTCTTCTCGAAGTCGGTCAATTACTGCCTTGTCGCATATGGTGTGTGATGCTCCGCTGTCCACGAGTGCTTGGAGGCATCGTCCTTTGCAGATGACCTCGAGCACGAGGGGCAGGCGTTGCTCGGAGTACCCAAAAATAGTTTCATTGATTGGGTCATAGGGTACATCCCAATAGTCGTTGCTTCCTACTCATGAGCTGGCAGCTGGCCGAGGCTGCTTGGAGAAAGGCTCTTCTCCAGGGCCCCGGAGTTTCCTTGACGACTGTTCATGTCGTTGACGAAGTTGCCGTGTTGGATGCATCCGAAGACAAAGGAATTCGAGGTTTTTGCAGCTTCTTGTAGACCCCCAGCTTCCTTTTGAGCTGCTTCAGCTCCACCGACGTCTTCCCTGGGGAACGGGTAGTCGCTGTGGGCTGGTGTCGGGAGAGGACGTTGACTCCGTGGAAAGGTCGGCTTCTTTCCACACTCCTTAATTTGGTCCCCAAGTTGTCCGGTACCGGTATGATCTCCACAATTTTCTGCTTCTTCTGGAGTCCCTCCTGTATTTTCTCCAAGGCTCTAGCCCCTCGAGAATTACAAGTTTTCTTTAAAGCATCTTTACAATATCACTTTAACGAATCCTTATAATTTCTTGGGTCTTCAAGGAGTTTCCCCGTCTCGGCAGAGTCCTTTTTCGCGGAGTTAGATTTTTCCTCGGCGATTTTCCCTGGCGAAGACTGGTTGTAGGGTGGAGATTTTCCCCCATCATTTCCTCCTGGTCGTGTCGAATCAGCTTCGTCGAAGTTGATTTTCCCGGAATCCCGCGGCCGTTTCCGGATCTTTTCTTTTTCGCCAGCTAGATCCGCAATCACTAGCGACTCCCGTTTTTTGTCTTCTGATTGGTTGAAGGATTTCCGCCACTGTTGCGTGCCCGATACTCTGCGCATGCGGCTTTCATTTTGTTGCAGTCGAAGATTCGATGACCCGGCACCCCGCAGAAATCACACGTGAAGTTGGTGTTTTTCGGACGTGGCCGCCCTTCAAACCTGTCGACTTCCATCGGGTCGGCGAACGTGGTGTGAGCCGAGCAGTCGCCTTGTCGTGTACTGTCAGCGTGCGTCCGTCGTGTCCCGGCGTTGACCATGTCGAAGCGTTCCGCGGCCGATACGACGTCACTGTAGCTCGCGTAGTTTGTCGCGGCCACTTGTCGTCTGACTTCGGTCTTCAGCCCGGCAAGATACGATTGTACTTTTTTCCCTTCGGTCAAGTCGGGAATTCGGTTATAAAATTCTTCCATTTGCTACGTGTACTGTGCTACACTCCCGAACTGTCGATGTCGATGAATTTTCTCCCGGGCAAGGAAACCCGAATCTATCGGCTCGAAACGTTTGAGCAAGTCGGTGCGGAACTGCTGCCACGAGGCGTCACCGTGGATGAAGGTGCTGTTACGGCCGATCCACTCGAGTGCCGGTCCTTGCATCAGTGTCGCCGCGAGTCGTACGCGTTGACCGTCCCATACTGGCGAGCTCCATCCGACGGCTGCGAAGTAGATCTCCATGCCGGCGATCCATCTGCGGACGTCGGAGTTTCTGTTGGTGCATATTCGTTTGCACGTCATTCTGTCGTCTGTTCGCATCATTTCGTTGCATGTGTTTTGTGTGCTACGTTGTTTATGTGGTTTGTTGGGTTTGCATGTCTTTGCATATTCATCTTGTGCTTGTGCAGATGTGCTTGGATTGTGCATGACATCGAGCACATTCCAACGAGCCAAGAATTGTTGGAATCGGAGCACATATGAAGAGGTTACGAAGAAGTGTTTGATGGATTTGTTACAACTCATTGGAAGTCCTTCGCAGCTGCTACACCAAAGTTGGAGAGCCCTATAACGAGGAGGGACCAGCATGTGTGGGACTTTTGTCCTCACCTTGCAGCTGCAGCATTTGGGGGTTGGAGGCCAACCTGGCACAGTGTGAATTTTGTCTTGCCAGGCTGGTTGAACCTGAGGATGGGGAGTCAAGACATTGACTCTTGTCATGTTCTTGACCATGGGCCTCCAGGGTCCTTCCCTTTCATCCTTCCCTTCCATTCCCACCTTCCAACTATGCTTCAATGCCTTTTTCATCATGCCTTTGAACTTGTAAGCTTCAATCATAGTGACTCTGAGGATGTCAATTTCTCGTAGGGCAGGTTACCCCCCAGAGCGCCAAACGCCATAGCTCACTCGATAAGCTACCGAATCGAGTGATTCAACTTTCATTGGAAAGCTGACGCTGCAAGCGACAGAATATCGAATTTGCAGATCATTGCACCGATTGGAGGGTTGGATATAGCTTTTCGAAGGTCGCAAGTTTTCTGGACGCCATAACGAAGTGCTGCAGAAATTTCCAAGGAGCCATTGAATCATCTGCTTATAGCCTTCTCTAACCAACAAGTGGTATCAGAGCCCATTATCACGCATTTGGGACCTAAAATACGATGGGAGATAAGGAGGACTCTGGTGGAGGTGATACTTCAGTCCAAGGAGGCAGCTCAACCCAAGATTCTGGCGTTGCAGCGCAATGGGGAGCGCGTACAAGCCAGGGATCACTGCTTAAGGAGGTGCTGAAGAACTTCACCATTGAGAAGTTCTCTGGAGATGGCTATGATGATTGGGCATGGAAGATGCAGCTCTACTTTCGACAAATTGGCCTCTTGAAGCTCATGATTAGAACGGAGCCAAGGCCAAAGGAAATGGCAGAGCAAGCGGACTGGGATGAACGTTCATCTGCTGGGTATTATCTACTGTCACAAAGCTTGGAGCTGAACCAGAGGCATCACATCATGCATCTGCTACCGGAAACTGATTGTGGGCCCAAGGCATGGGCAGTGCTCAAGGACCTGCACGCTCCGACATCCGTTGCCGCTTCTCTCATGCTGGATCGGGAGCTGTCCATGCTGCGGTTGAGCGAGAATGAACCTGTGCAGCCCGTACTGGACAAGATGAGGGAACTCTACGCGAAATTGACGATTGCTCGCATCACGTACCCTGAGCAGACTAAGTGCCTCAAGATGCTCAGCCTGCTGCCCGAGTCTTGGCTGCAATTTATAAGCGGACTCAGCCTGCCACAAAACCAAAATCAGTGGACATTGGAGTGGATTAGCACCAAGATTCTGGAAGAAGATTTTCGTCGCTATACACTGCGTGGAGGTGATGACAGCACCAGCGGCTATGCCATGCAAGGGACATGGAGGGATCGAGGGCGTGGCAATCGCGGTCGCTCTTACTACAACCAAGGTGGTCGCGGGACTTGGAACCAGCGGGGGCGTGGTGGCGCTGGTGCAAAAGGAAGAGGTGGTCACTCCAACAATGACAACAGTGAACCACGCTTGAGGGGAGAGTGCTGGTATTGCAAGGAAGAAGGGCATCCATGGTTTTGCTGCTCTACAAAGCCCGACTGGTGGACCTCTTGGAACCAATCGCAAAAGGGGAATGGAGGAAAGCAACCACATGGAGGTGCCAACATGGTAGCTGATCCTGTTGAAGAAACCTCCAAGGATGACAGAGGAATGGGAAATGAGGAGAGGAATGCTGGACAGTTCTACCATGTGCGTGACAAAGATGACTGTGGCACAGCTGTTGCAAGGGCTGGAGAGGAATTGCACCCGCTTGACATGTGGGTCATGGACTCTGGTGCTGCATGGACAATGACACCACGCAAGGACTTGCTGGATGCTGTGCGAGCGCCTCCAATCTCTGAAGTGCGCTCAGCATCCGGACATGCAGTGAAGGTCGCTGGAGTTGATCGAGCTGCATTCAGAGCACCTGATGGTGGACTGGTTGTGCTGAAGGACGTGTTACTCGTACCGGGGCTGAAGGCCAATCTGATATCGCTGCGCAAGCTAGGCCAGGCCGGAGTCAGCACCACCACCAATGGATCCAAAACATTCAAGGGGCTGCGAGGAGATCGTGTGTTATGGGATTTACACGAAAGCAGAGATGTCTTCAGATCCATGTGGCAGATCCCTGCGCTGATATGGGAATCAAGAAAGAAGGAGTTGGGAGCAGTAAAGGTGGGATCTTGAGTCCAGGGGGAGTGCAATGCAGTTAGTGCTGCAGGAGTGACGGTTTCTGCAAGGTCGGGGGAGACTGATTGGGAAACCGCACACAGGCGTCTAGGGCATGTGGCTATGCCATTGCTGCAGCAACTGCATAAGGAAGAAGGAGTAAAGGGGCTGAAGCTATCTGGGCAACCAAATGATACCAAGTGCGAGACGTGTCTGCTGAGCAAGTTCACACGGTTCCCCTTTCACGGCGTAGCTAGGAAAAGCAAGGCAGCACTGGAACTGGTGCATATGGACCTGGTAGGACCTTTTCCAGTTCAAGGAAGTAAGGGGGAAAGGTACTTCCTGACAATAGTTGATGATTGGAGTCGGCTGATGTGGGCATACCCGTTGAAGCAGAAGGATCATGTTGCCTCAACAATACGAGATGACTGGCTGCCGTTCGTCGAGCGACAATCTGGGCACCCATGCAAGAGCATCAGAACCGACCGAGGTGGAGAGTTTCTAGGAGGAGATCTGACTGCGTGGCTCAAGAAACAAGGCATTGAGCATCAGCTAACGACGTCCTATACCCCTCAGTCAAATGGCGTTGCTGAGAGGGCTAATAGGACCATCCTGGAAACTGCACGAGCGCTGCTGATCGAATCAGGGCCGCGGAACTCCATGTAGCCTCATGCGGTGAGGCATGCTACAGTGGCAAGGAACCGCGTACTCACAAAGGTGGCTGATGATATGTGAGTGCCGCTGGAGAGGTGGCTTGGAAAGAAGCCTCCAGTGGACATGCTTAGAGTGTTCGGATGCATGGCAGTGGCGCATGTCCCTAAACCGTACAGGACAAAGCTTGGAGAATCTGCACTGTGGTGTGTGCACCTTGGGCTTACAGCAGAGAGCAAGGGGTGGCTACTCTGGGAGCCCTCGAAGAATGTGCTGTTTGACAGTTGGATGTCAAATTTGTGGAGAACATCATGTATGGCAAGTGGGAGAAGCAGCCGGAGGCAAGGGTCACCCAGCAGCTGGAAGAGATCACTATGCACTTCGATTTGTCCGAACCTGAGGACAGCGAGGTCACTGTGCCAACGGCAAGCGGTACTGATGAAGGAAGCAATGAGGATATTGCAGCTGATGCTGAAGTCAAGGATCCGGAGCAGCAGCAGCAAGAGGCTTCCAAAACACCAAGTCTGCCAAAGCGAAGGAAACAGATTGGTGGGGGGACAAAGGATTGGGTGAAGGTGAAAGAATGGGTAAACCCAACCATCTACCCTGCACGTACCAGAATGGCGACGAGAAAGCTGCTGAGCTCTACAAGTGGAAGAGCCACAACTGAGCAGCAGGAACAGGCTCAAGGCGAAGATGCAGTGCTGTTCTTGGGTGATGACCAAGAGTCAGATGACGAGGAGCCTGCATACTGCTTTCACGCACCAATACAACCTCCGAGCATGGATCATGCGCTAGCCGGGCCTCAACGGGAGAAGTGGCTCGTTTTAAGAGATGCAGAGTACAACAGCCAGATGGAGAATCACACATGGGACCTTGTGTACTTGCCGAATGGGAAGAAGGCAATACAGTGCAAGTGGCTGGCGAAAATCAAGACAGATGAGATAGGAGAGCCATCAGTTTATAAGAGCAGGCTGGTGGCAAAGGGGTTTCAGCAGAAAGAGAAGGAAGATTAAAAAGAAGTGTTTGCCCCAACTGCTAAGTCTCCAACGTTACGTGTGCTGCTGGCGGTAGCTGCTGTGCGCAAATGGAAGGTGAAGCAGATGGACATCGTAACCGCTTTTCTGTACGGAATTGTGGAAGAAGAGGTGTACATGGTTCAACCACCTGGCTATGAGGATGGAACCGGTCGTGTCTGCAAACTTAACAAGGCCATCTATGGCTTGAAGCAGGCCCCGAGATGCTGGTACAACAGGCTGGCCAGTGCACTGGAAGGGATTGGATTCCGTGCGAGTGCATGCGATGAGAGCCTATTCCTGATGGGTGAGGGGGAGTCGCTTGTGCTTTTGCTGGTGTACGTGGATGACATCCTGCTCTTTAGCAGCAGTGACAAGGAGATCGATGGGGTGCAGCGGAAGCTCACAGAGCAGTTCAAGTGCAAGTCACTTGGAGAGGCAAGGTACTACCTGGGAATGCACATTGAGCGGGATACTGAACGTGGCTGGCTCAAACTGCATCAGGGACAGTACATCCACACCTTGGCTGAGAAGTACTCTCTGCAGGAAGAACGGAAAGTGGTCACACCTTTGCCTTCCGAGTTCAAACTCACAAAGGCAGCTGAAGGAGAAGGAGTTGAGATTGAAGGCCAGAGGCAATTTCAATCCATGGTCGGGAGCCTACTCTACGCTGCTGTGCATACTCGGCCTGACATCAGCTTTGCTGTGGGACAGCTGGCTCGAGTAGTGCAAAATCCAACAGAAGAGCAGTGTGGTGCAGCGGAGAGAGTGGTGCGCTACCTCAAGTCATACCCTACAGTGGGAGTACAGTATTCAGCCTCTGCTCAACTCAGGCAAAAAGGAGTTGAAGTCCTCAAACAGAAGGGGGAGCAGCTCGGAGAAGGAAAGGTGTTCCTTTCCTGTTATGCTGCTGCCACATGGGCTTCTGAGCATGAGGATTCATCATCAGTTTGTGGATACATCTGCATCAAGAAGCAGACTGAGATGGCACTATCTTCAGTGAAATCTGAGTACATGGTGATGTTTCATGCGGCAAAAGAAATCATATGGCTAAGGAGGCTCTTG